CTTCGCGCCCCCCGCCCCCTGCCGGGCCCCGGGCCGTCCGTTTGCCAGGACTACCAACGAGCGCCGCCGCCGCCGCCGCCGCCGCCCCCCCCCCCGCGTCCGCCACCCCGATCGCCCGGGCCCTGGCCAACGGCTAGCGCGGCCAACAACAGCGCGCGGCCGGCTAACAGCAGTCTATATTGAAGGGGACGATCACGTGTGGTACGCCAGCGCCGCGCCCGGATACCGGATCGCAAAGGCCAAGCCGATCCACAGGGCCTGCGCCTGGAGAAGGGCCGCGGTCAGGTCGCCCTCGGCCATGTTCCCACGATGGAGGAGCATCAAATTCGGCAAGGTCAGGTTGATGAACTCCCCCTTGGCCGAATCGATGCGAGTCAAGCCGACGGCCTGGAGCAAGCGCGCCAGGTGCAATCCCACGCGATTGCGCCAGGTCAATCGGGCCAGGATTTCCCGGTCGCCGGCCAGAGCCCGGCGCGCGACGGCCGCCAGCTCGCGCCCGGCCGCCAGCCGATCCTCCGGCGTCGCGTGTCGCAGGCGAATGCCCAGGCGCCGGGCCGACCCGGCCGTAATCAGACTCCCCCGGCTGGCCGTCAGGAGGAGCGGTCGCCGGGGCCGGCCGGACTGCTGCTGCTGCTGCTGCTGCTGCTGCTGCTGCTGCTGCTGCTGCTGCTCCGCGCTGTCGGCCGCCATGGCATCCGGGTCCTCGGCATTGCGAGGCATTCGATGCCGCGGGCACTCCAGGAACCCGAACAACTGCGGGGCACTCAGCAGGAAGTTGAACACCTGCGGCAGCATAAAGAGCAGGAGGGTCTTGCCCGCATGGCCGACAATGCCACACGCGGCCAGGGTCATCCCGGCGAAGTAGCAATACGCGTCCCCGACAAAGACCGCCGCCGGGGTCCGATTGCGCAGGTACAGGGCATAGCTCACCCCGAGGAAGGGCAGCAGCAGCACCAAGGCCAGGAGGTGATTTTCGTCGGTCAGCGTGGTCCCCGGGCCGGAGGCGCCGCCGCCGTTGGCCGCCGCGGCCCCGAGCAACCCGGCCGGCAGGAAGAGCTGGCACAGGAGATGCGCCGCCAGGGCCCCGCCGGCCACCAGCGACTGGCCCACCTCCAGGCCATTGATGCCGGCCAGGATGTTGATGGCGTTCGTGCAGAAGACCGCCAGGGCACCCATGTAAAGGTAGTATAGCAGGCCCAGCTGGACGGTGCGCCCGGGCAGGGCCGCGCCCCCGAGGACCAGCCGCCCGGCCAGGCGAACCACTCGCGGCAGGAGGACCTCCGTGTGATTGTACGTGGCGTAATAGACCACCAGCAATGGGAGCGAGGCCAAGGCTGGCATGGCCAGCTTGTGCCTCCAGCGGAGCTCCAGCACATCGTCTGCGAAGCCGAGGAAGGCCATCGACCCGATGCTCAACAGGGCTGCAAGGTACTCGGTCAGCTATCGGGCCCCCCGCCCCCGGGGGAGATGGGCCACCAGGCGCGCGGCGGGGCGGCGAGGGAGGAGCGGCGGGGGGAGGGGACAGTCAGTCGCAGTTGGGGAAGGGGCAGCCAAGCCGGGGGGGGGGGGCAGGGCAGGATAGCACGACGGCATCGGCAAGTACCTTGGCCAGGGACAGGTGGGCAAGCTCCGAGGAGGCAGCCCACTCGGCCCAGCCGTTGCCGCCGATGAAGCGCGGAGCGATCGGCAGGAAGGGGACAAACAGCAGCAACGCCACCAGGTAGATGGCCGCCGCCACGGTGCCCAAACTCTCGGGGCTGACATGGCCCAGGGCCGAGTTAGTCCGGGACGGGAGCGCGAGAGCAGCCGGGCAGGTGGCCCGGGCGGCGAAACAGCCGGAGCAGCGGCGGGCACGCACAGCTTCGGGCGACCGGGCTTATGAACATCATGGCCGAAGAGGCCCGCCCGCATGAAGGTGTCCTGGATGGCGGGGATGGCGCGGTGCGTGCCGATGCCAGCGCAGATGGCAATCGCCCCGGCCAAGATTGCCGTCGATGAGAGGGACATCGCGTCCGGGCGATCTGGAAGGCGGAGACAGGTACAGTGGGGTGGGGGGGGGGGGGCAGCGAAGAAGGTGACCAAGCAGGAGGGGAGCGAGGGGAGCACGGGGAGGAGGAGCGGGGGAGGGGGTCGCCGGGTGAAGCCCGCTTTGTCGGATCCCCTCGCCAGCCGGCCCGCCCAAGGACGATCCCAAATATGCACGGGCGAAGTGGCGACCGCGGAGTCTGGGGGGGGGAGGGGGGCGCTGAGCGATGGACAGCGGATGCTGGATCCAGACACCCGGCCGCGGCCAATCGCCGTCCGCACACACGCATGTACACCCATCGAGAGGCGTGTCTACTGAGTGTTTGGCAACTTGCCTGGCCCGAGGCTCGCGGCCCGCGTGATTAGGACCGGGATTTGAATTTCCCCGCCCGCCCTGCCACCGGATCCGGGCGCCAAGCGCCGGGTGTCCCAACGATGCGTGTTTCACGCACGGACACCTCGCGCAACAAGCGACCGACCGGTGGCGGCACTATTCCCCCCCCCCCCCGCCCACCCAGCTCCCGGGGGCAACAAGTGGACAAACAGGGCCGGGCCTTTTCCCCGCTGCCCCCCTTGCGGCCAGACGCCTGACCCCCCCCCCCCCCCCTCGGGGGGAAGGCCTCCCCGAAGCCATGTGTGGGAAGACACAGCCAGAAAAAAGAAGGAAAAGGGCACATTATCAACACTGATGTGGGTATTCTACAGAGGGAGGGCAGCACTCGCCTGCTTGAGCCAGAGACGTGGGAGGGGGGATGTATGGTGCCAGGCCGAGGATCGGAGTGCGGCCCCGCTTTATGGAGGCCAAAAAAAGTGGGGGAGGCCAGGGGAAGGGGGAGGAGGGGGCGGCCTGGATGCCTTTTACGATGTCTGTGTGTGTGTGTGTGTCGCTACTGGGTTGCCTCGGCCGATCCTGCTGTCCCCTCCCCTCGCCCCGCTCGTGCTCCCGTAATGGCCCTCCTCCATCGGCCCTGGTGTCTTGCACCCGCGCCAACCAGCCGCAGTCCGCGAGCAGCGTGTGCCGCGGAAAAGGAGAAAGGAGCAAAAGCGGAGGGGAGGAAAGGAGAGGGAAAGAGAGATACACCGAAGGCGGGCGCAGGAACAAGGACAGGGGGGAAGGGAGAGGGGGAGGGGGGAAGGTAGGCGAGAAGAGGCTGCCCCCTGCCGCCACTGTGGCCGTCCCCCCGCCGGTGTGCGCCGGCGCGCGGCGCGGACAGAACAAAGAATGAACGCCACGGCATGGCAGAAAGGCGGAGAGAGAGAGAGAGAGAGAGAGAGGGAGAGGGAGGGAGGGGGGATAAACCGGGATGCCGGCACGCCCACACCTTAGGCCGCCAGGAGGCTGGCGCTCTGGCTGACCGTCTCGGGAGCCGGGGCAGTTTCGGAGGCCGACGGAGCCTCAGGGGTCGGGACCGGAAGCGGGATGCCATACCGCACCGGGCGGAAGAGGCTGCGCTTGTCAATCTCGAAGCTCGACACCCAGGGGAACATCTCGCTGATGACGTCGTGCAGGATCTGCCCGGCGGCCGCGGTGTTGAAGCTGTCATTGATGGCGAACATGCGCGGGCGACGGTTCAGGATGTCCAACAGGGTCGGGTCATTGGGCTTGGTGGTGTCACGGAGAACCAGGAAAGCCATCTGCGGGACCAGCTCCTCGAAGGTCATCACCTGGGCCGTGGTGTTGAAGAGACTGGCCTCCTCCATCATGACCGCATGATGGGCAAACGGCGTGAGAACATCATCCCAGTGGCGGAACCGGTGCTTGGAAGACTGGATGTACTGCTCGGGAAGCATGTTCTCGCGGAGGTGCTTGAGCACGGCCGTCTGATAGACGAAGGGCGAGTGCTTGACGAAGTGCAGGGGGACCGACTTCTTGTAGTACTCGTCCATCAGCCACTTGGTGTGGTACACGGAGGCCACCCAGAGCTTGGTGCGGGACTTCTTGTACGAGCGCTGGTTCTCGATGGTGCCGCGGATGGGGGACCGCTCGAAGAAGAGCTTCGACCCGCCATCCTTCAGGAACAGGTCCCACGGATAGAGAGGCGACCCGAAGAAGTAGTCGTCATTCACGTGGACAAACACCGGGCCGATGTTGGGGATCCGGTAGAAGAACTGCTCGATGGCGTTGGTGTTGAAGGTGGGCTGCTCACCGTCGTCGCGCATGATCGAGTGCTGGTCGATGATGGTCACGCGGGGGTGCTGCGGGTCGAGCCAGGGAGGAGACTGGGCAAAGGGGGAGCTATGTGTGCGGAAGGGGGGGGGGGGGGGGAACAACATGAGTGAGTGAGCTGGCCGCGGGACAGGAAATGGGATGCACTCAGAGGCCGTCGGCGCATGGAGATGCCTGCACGCATGCGACCATGCTGCATATCCATGCGTGTCGACACATGGGAGAAGGCGAGGGAGAGGGTGGGGTGGGGGGGGAGAAAGGCAGCACATACACAAGGAAGATCTGGCCCTTCCACCAGGGGGCGAAGATCTCAAGCGAGCGGAAGGAATGGCGGAGCTCTCCGCTATCGCGGTCACGAGAACCGCCCACCGAACGAGTGCCGCCATACTTGGCGCGGATCTCCTGGTACTCGGGGTCGCTTCCATTGACCCAGGTGTAGCTGTGGCGACAGGGGGAGAGATCGGGCAGGGGAGGGAAGGACCAAAAGACGGTCAGCAAAGAAGCACCGCACCAGGGAGAAGCCAGGGAGGGAAAGGACCCAGGGGGGGGGGGGGAACGCACACAATCGGCACATTGGCCGCCCAGGCCCAGTCGCCGGAGGCCGCGGTAACCAGGTCGTCCGGGATGAAGGCCCGCGACGCCTGGAAGCCATTGGAGTTGCTGCCAGCCTTGTAGTAGGACGGATTGCTGAGGTAGATGCCGGGCTTGCCGTCGACCGTGGCGCGCTGGCCATCGGGAACATGGGCATCGTTGGCCGGCTCGTGCGTGCCGCCGGCCGGGGGGTTGGTCTTAACCGGTGCATCTGTGCCCGGAGGGGGGGTATTCACGAGGACAATCATCTGCGTGAACAGCACCACCACGAAGACGCCCATGAGCAGCAGGCCGAGAAGGCGAGCGAGCCGCATGGTGTATGGCAGCTGGGTGTGTGCAGGCCGGACCCGCTATGACTGAGGGGGGGGGATGCGGAATACAAGGGGGCAGAGGGGAGAGAGAGAGAGAGAGAGGGAGGGAGGGAGGAGAAGAGAGGTAAGCGACAATCCGACAGAAGGGGGCGGAAAGAATGTGACACCACAGCAGAGCCAGCACGCATATGTGCGTGTGCCCATGGGAAAGGGAGAGAGCGCGCGAGCGAGCGAGCAAGGGAAGCAGGGGGGGGGGCGCACGTTGCTTGGCTGACTGGCCCGGGCCAAATGGGGAGGGAGGAAAGGGGGAGAGGGGGGAAAGAGAGGGGGGCGGGGAAAAGGCGGAAAGTCTAGAAAGGGAGGCGGCTGAAGCGCCAGTTCCAGGGCTGCCCAGTCTGGCGTGGAGCCTCTTGAGCCCACCACGAGGGGCTTGCTGCGCACAGCCCCCGGGGATGAGAGCGAGAGAGATCCGGTGGTATTATGACACACTCCATCCTCGCTCCTTCTGCGCACACTCGCACACCCGCACCCACTCGCGCTCCTGACGGCGGGGGGGGGCGGCGGCTTGCTCCCCCCCTGCCGGGAGTTGACACAAATCCGCGCCCACAACGCGCGCGCTTCAACAGCAGGCCTCAGACGCAGTGTGCGCGGGCCCTCATGCCCTCGGCCCCCCCCCCCCCGCGCCCCCCTGTCCCTTTGCCTCGCCCAACCAGAGTCTTGGGCCGCGGTGGCATTCCGGAACCGCGCAGGGCCTCGACTGGGCCAGGGGGGACCGATTGCCCCGGCTCTCAACTAGAGATGGTGCGCGTGTTTGCTCTTGCCCGAGGGGGAGAGGCACACACAATGCAGGGCTCCTCGGGACTTGGATGAGGGGTCGGGGAGGAAAAATGGCCCAGCGAGCCCAGAGGAGGCCACTGCGTGCGCGCGCGCGGTCTTACGGAGCACCCCCTGTCCTCGGGCGGGGCGGGGGGGGGGGAAAGATGCCCGGCCGCCGCCAGTCAGGAGGCTTGGCAGGTGGAGGCCTGCGCCCGACAGGGCAACAGTGGCTCCCGGCGCCCTCTCGGCTGGGTCGGGGAAAGCCGCGGCCACGAGCGCATGGGTACTCTCGAAGGAGCGCGTGAGCAATTTTATCCGACAGGGCCCCGCACCCCGGCGCCGAAAGAAGGCCACAGGAGGCATCGGGCCAGGGAAAACATGTCGGCCGGTGGCTCCTCTCACATGGGGGGGGGGGGGGGGGGGGGCGCCGGGGGACTCCACACTCGCCCGGACAGCCACCGGGAAGGAGCGGACCCAATTCCCCCAGGGCTTTCTCCCAGGCGGCGCACGATCCCCGCCCGGGCCGCCCGCACCACCTCCGGACGGAAGGCCGAGGGCGAAAGAACACACATATACACACCCACAGAAGCAGGCCCATGCTGGCGGGGGCGGGGGGGCGCGGCGCGCACGCGCGCGCGCGCGCGAGCAGGTGCGTGACTGACTGCCCCCCCCCCCCCCGGCGGCCCCCTTCTCTGACTGCCCGTTCACGCATGGAGACTAGCGGCACGGCCGTTCGCCCCGCCTCCCTCCAGGGCAGGGGGCGCGCCAGGGACGAGGACGCCAGAACCCCCCGAGGGAGAACCCCCCGCAGAATGGGAACCGGGTGGACTGGCGCCTCGCCGCAGGGGAGCCTCGCCTTTCTCTCGGCCCCCCCCCGCCGGGGAATCCTCCAACCGTTACATATTTCCACCACAGTTGACACTGCCGGCAGCAAGAAGTCCAATACATGGAGAAATGAATCAAAATATAAACATGCCTGTGCTCGCATCCCCTTCTCCCCCCCCCCCCCCCCGAACGTGCCCAGTCTTCATTCTCCCTTTTTCTGGGCCGCCCGCCGCCGCGCGTCCACACCCCCGTTCCCCGCCCGCAGGCCGTCCCAAGCCTGGGATACTCTCCCTCGGCCGTTCCCTTGTGGCGTGCGGAGGGCCCGGCCCCGCCCCGCTTTTCCCAGAGCTAAAGATTGGGGGGCGGGCGCCGAACGTGAAAGTCAATGATGGGACTGATCATGCGTCGGGGTCACAGTATGGCACATGATCCGGCACCCATCGGCGCTCCCCCGCTAGCCCATTTCAGAAACCGTGCGTCCCTCCCACCGGGGGCGGCCTTCCGATCGCGTTGTCGCCAAGATGCTCTCCTCCCCGGCCCCCCGGTCCCCTCCCCCCCCTCCCCCCCCCCCAAACATTTGCCGTCCACACCACCCCGTACCTTGTTTCCCCTCCCCTCTGGCGCGCGCCCCCTCCGCTCGGCCTCCCTCGCCGGCCCTTCTGAAGCCATGAACTACTATTCGACGGATCGCGGCACCACTCGTTTCTCCCTGCGCTTTCTCGGCCTCCTCGAGCAGCAAACCCAGGAGTGCGCACGAATGGACCATTCCGCCCGGGACTCCCCTTCTCTCGCATTTCCCCCCCGCCCCCCCTCTCTCCGGCCCTCTGACATCCGGCATGCCCCTCTCGCCTGTGCGGCTCCCCCCTTCCGGCAGTTTGTCCGAGCTCCTGACCACGTCGGAGTTGGATGACGCCTCGCAGGAGCGCCTCCGGGCCACCGCCATCGCATACACCCGCTATCGCGCGGAGTTGGTCCAACGCATCGGTGCCCTCGGGTTTCACCACCGCCCGGAGGGGACCTTGCGCGCATTCCAGGGGGATTCCCCCCTGCCGACACCCGGACGCCCGCTTCGCTCCGCCCGCCAAACACCCACCACCCTGGCGGATGTGGTTCTGCAGGAGGCCCAGCGCCTGACCCGGTCCAGGCAGCCCCAGCCACCGGCCAATGCCTCGACCACACGGGCCCTCTTTGCCCGGCCGGATCTGCTGCGACGCGTCTTCGCCCCCTACCACGAGGCCCCCCGCCGGCGCGCGCTCCAGCAAAGTCGCCTTCAATTGTCGGCTCTCTCCGGACGCGTGGTCCGCCAGGCCGGCCATGGGCGTGTCCTTGTTGGCTTCCTCGGCGACTTGCCGGCAGCCGGCCCCGGCTCTGGACATGTCAGCCCCTGTCTGATTTTTCGCCCGGCCATCGCCCGCGACGGCTCCCCCGGCCTGGCCCTCTGGCGACACACGGTCCCGGTGACGGTCAGCCGGCGCCTGGTCGCACACGGATCGCACGCCTCCCTGGCCCGCGGGGGCCGGGCAGGCGTCAGCCCCCCGGAGCCTCGCCAGCCGGCCAGCTCCGCCAATCTGCTGCTCGACGCGGCCGAACGTGCCCTGCAGGGCCTCGCCGTTCGCCGGACCCTTGCGGCCGACATTGCCCGGCGCTGGGCCGACCTGACCAGCCCATCGGCCGCGCCCGGCTCGCCGGCGGCCAATCTCGGCACCGTCTTGCTGTCTGCCTTCCCCGACCCTCCGATTGTCGATGTCGGCTCCGGCTCAGGGAGCATCTTCATCTCCCTAAAGGGAAGGTGTGTCGCTGGGCAGGCCGCCCTCGATCCTTCCGCTCCCCCCCCCCCTCCCTCCCCTATCGAGGGCCCTTCATCTTCATGTTGGCTGTCTCTTACACTCCCTTTCCGCGTGCCCTCTCGCGTCGGCCCCCCCCCCCCCCCCCCCCCCCCCCCCCCCCCCCCCCCGACCTGGTGGCCTTCCAGACTCGACATCACCTTGCGCTTCGACAGCGACTCATCAACTTACCGGCCCAGCGAGGTCGACGTCCGCGTGCATGCCGCCCAGCCTGGCGAGGAGGACCACCCCTCCCTCGTCGCCGCGGCCCAGGACATCCGCCAGCTCTTCGCCGACCCCGGCACCTCGCCGGCTGTGGCGCTGGTGGTGGCGGCCCTCATTCTGGTGCGGGGATCACGTGAACAATAAACACGCCGGCATCAGCCGCATTCCCAGCCCCGGCTCCCTTCGGTGCCCGATCGCGCACGCCGACACACACGCACACACACGCGCGCGCGCACATATAAGTGCCGCCAGGGTGAGGATCTCTCCCGGACTCGAGCGGGCTCGGCCACCAACCATGCCTCTCCCTCGCCCGCCCTGCGTCCTCTCGCCGCTGTCACTTCGCTTGCCTCTCTTGCTGCCCGCCGGCTCGGGGGTCTTCCGGTTGCGCGACAGATGGCCGACCTGCCGTCGGACCGCCCTGGCTCTCCGGAGCGAAAAAGGCGACGGCACCGGCCGCGCGCCCAGCGCCGTGCCCCGGTCCCGGAGCCCTGTGACGCCCCTCCGGCCTTGCCGGTGCCGGAGTCGGACTTTTCGAAATCACTGACAAATGCCGTGGCGGCTGCCCTGCTGGCGAAGCCGCCCTCCGGCGGCCGCCATGCCGCGGAGTTGGGCCCGCCTCCCCGGCAAGCGGCGGCCACCTCCGCCAAAATGACCGCCCGCCCTGTTGCCGCGGCCGCTGCCTCGGCGAGATCCTTGGCCACTCCGCCGGAGGCCGCCCTGGCCGGGCATCTCCCCGTGGCACGCCCGGAGCTCGGTGGTGCTGTGGACCTCCACACCCGAGCCGAGCTCATCCAAGCCGGGCCACCTGCCGATCGGCGCTTTGCCCTCGGGGGGATCGGGCATTTACGCCTGCCCGAGGAGGAGGAAGAGGCCGCCGCCGGCCGCCGGCGGCCGGTTCGCGTGTGCACGGTGGCCGACGAATCGCGCTACATGCTGATCTTTGGCATGCCGGATCTCCGTGTATTTGGCTCGCCGCTGGATGCGTGCCAAGATCTGGCCGAGTATCTCGGCCGGCTGCTGGCCCCTGGCGCGCGGCCGGGCGAGGAGCCACCCCCCGGTGGGCTGCCCTCACCGGCCCCTGTCTGTCGGCTGGCCCTTGCGACCGAACTCTGCACGGCCCACCTGCCCTACGGGTACACCCAGTCCGATGAATTTCAATCCATGGCGCCTGTCTTTCTGGCCACCTTTCGCACAGTTCGCCAAGCGCGGTACGTGCCTGCCCCATTCCCGGCCATTTCGATTGGCGCCTCCACATGCACAGGCGCATGTCCCACGCGCGTGGCCGAGGCCGCGCGCAGTGCCCCCCCCCCCCCCCTCCCCCCACGCCGGTCCCTGACCTTCGTCCTCCCCATGTCGCTGTCGCCTGCGGGCCGCCCCCGGCGCCCTTCTCCTCGCCCAGGCTGGCCAAGAGTCGCGCCAATCGCCGCCACGCATCCTCCCTGCCGGGGGTGCGTGTCCTCCGCCTGGCGTATGCCCCGCATTTGGAGACCCCCGACGAGCGAAGTGCCAAGTTCCGCCAACGCCAGCGAGACCTGCGCACCCGGGCCCGGACCGAAGATGGTACGCATCTGACCCGCTGTTGGGTTGCGCCAGGTGCATGGCGCCGGGGGCGGCCCGCAGGGCGGGTTGTCCCTTGCGACCCCTTGCCTGTGTCAGTCGCACACGCGCCGGCGGCGTCTTCCCCCCCCCCCCCCCCGCGCGCCCCAGCCACACCGACACACATCCCTGGGCAGGGCCCACCGGGGCAGGAAATGTGCCACGTGCTTGCAAGGGCACATACATGCTTTCGCGGCGGCCGCCCCTGGATACCCAAGCCGGCCGCGTGGGCCCCCGGGCCGTGGCACCGGCCCGGATTGCTGCGCCGCCCGGCCTCCCTCCCTCCCTCCTGCCCGCTCGCCGCCCGGCCCCGCCCCGCGTCGATGCGCACCATGCCGGCACCGGCGAGAATAGCCCCTGGAAATCCAAACTCACCACCCATTTGCCTTTCCTCCCCCCCCCCCCCCTCTGACCAGTTGGCCCGGCCCCCTATGCCGGGACCTCGGCCGGGTCGCTGCCGGTCTGGAGCCTCCCCTCCCCCGGGCCGGGGCACCGACGCCGGCGGATTTAACGTGCCCCCTTCCCCCGGGGAGGGCCGCGCCCGCGGCGCCTCCTCCCCCTCCCCTTCTCCGCCCTCGCTCCTCCCTCCCCGGCCCGGGTCCCGGGGGAGGCCGGCCCGTTTTGCCCCGGCAGCCGGGCGCGGGGGGCGCTACTCCCAACGGACCGACGTGTGTCATCCCCCCATACGCCACAATTGCGTCGCGGCACAGGCCGACGCGTGTGCCGTGATCAGCCGTGGCATGTCATGGACTCCTTTTTCCAGCTGGCAGGCGAGGAAGCCCACAATCGGGTGTGCCCGCGTGCCCGTCTTTTCTCTCTCTCTCTCTCTCCCTGCCATTTTCCCGGCCTCGGCCGCGGACTTCTCTGCGCCAGTTGCGTACCAAGCTCTTGGTGGCCGGCTTCAATCGCGACCGGACATCGCGGCTTCCCTGCCGAAGGTGGCGACACTCCTCTTGGCAGCCCATCGCCGTCTTGCGCTCCCCACCCGCCTTGGGCCTTTCGCCGGACACACATGAGCACAGCTTGGCCCAAAGCAGGAAGGTGGAAGGCGGGGTGGCGGCGACATGGCGCACACGCGCGCGCGCGCACACGCACACGCACACACCCTCCCGGTTGGGCTCGCTCGGGGCGGCTGGCGCAAACAAATCGCCGCGCCTCCCCCTTCGGCTGTCCCACGGGTGCGCTCACGCGCTCCGAATAGATAGCACCAACCGGTCCATTTTCGGCGCCCCGCCTGAAAGTTGCTCTGTTTCATTCGGTCCAGTTAGGGGCCCGGCATCGGACATGCCCTCTTGGAGGTGGTGCACAATGCTGCAAAAAGGCAGCGGGGCGGGGGTACAGTGGGGCAGTAAGGGGGGCTCACGCTGCGGGGCGCGCACTCAACGACACAGCCCCGTTGGGGGTGGGGTCGCAATCTTGCGCGCCCACGCCAGTGCACACCCGTCGCCACCCCGCCCCCCCCCCCCCGCCCCATCCAGTGATAGGACCTGCGTCGACGCTGCGCACACACTTGCGCGCATTCTCCAACGCCCTGGCGTGGTTCATACTGGGGGGGGGGGCCTCCCAGTGGTTCGGCATCTCCAGCGAGAGGGATCGGCCGGTGCTTTGATCCTGGCCTGGTTGCGGGGAAGGTCCCGCTCTTGGCTCACAGCCCCCCGCCCCCCGTGGTGGCCCCCACTCTGAGGCAGCTTAACAGCCCCTGCTTTGGCTTAGGCGCGGCCCGGTCCTACACCATCACCGGCGCCCCGCGTCCCAATCATCTGGTCCGGGCTGCTCGCAGCAGCACCCATGGCACCCGACATACACCGAGGCCGAGGTGAGACCAGTCCGCTGCTGCTCGATGCCGGGCCCCCCGGCGCCGGGGCCAGGGGGGGGGGGGGGGGGCGCCGGTCCGCGCCGCGCGACGCGGGAGACAAGGCCAGGACCACAAGTGGCGCCGATCCGCCGGCAATTAATCGGCCCTCGACTCGAGGGGCCTTCCCCCCGCCCGCCCCCGGGGGTCGCAGACGGCTCGAGCCCCACCGGCAACATACGCACAACCGCCCGGACAGGCTGGTACTATGGTCTGTGAGCAAACGGGTGCCTGGCCGTCCTGGCCACTCCTCGCCCATACCCTTGGCGAAGTGGTCAGCAACACACTGGCGGTCTCCCTATCACGCATGGTCACCACATCCCGGATCCACTCGCTCATGCACTCGGCCACCCTGAGCCGGGTTGGGGCCGGCGACATGGGCAGCAGCGCGATACGGGCGCACCTTCCCCCCCCCCCCTGGGCCCCCACCGGGGGCGCCAGTGCGCGCGCATTGACCCCGCAGCCCGCTCGGGGCCCCATACGCACTGCGATAAGCGAGCTGCCTCTGCGTTGGCGCCGGCGCACTGGCAGGAGGCCATACATACATGCGCGTACCCTGCGCTTGCGTCCCGCAAGCGAGATACCGCTCAATTTCCCGGCATAAACGACATTCTCGCCGACTGTCTGACACCGGACCCTGTCCAGGCGTGGTTTTTCCCGAAGGGGGGTCTCAAGTCTTCCTCGGAGCAGCGGAGGGGCAAGAAGGCCGGGGGGGGGGGGGGAGGCGCGCAAAGAGCGGGGCAGGGCGGGGGCTTCCCATGGCCGGCATTATGCTTGCGCTCGAAACTTCCAGGCGATACACGGCCACAGGCCAGCCGCCGGCGCTTGGGCGCCCAGGCCCTCAAGCATCGCAAGTGGACCGCGCGAGAGGGGGAAGGGGGCGGGGCAGGGCGGGGCACGGAAGCACGGCCGAAATGTACTCTGCCCCAATGGCGTCCCGTGGCAAGGGGCCACGCCAACGCCTCTCGGCCGCTTCCGCCTGCTCCCCACCCTTCCTTTTCGGCCGGGGCACGCCTGGATCGAGTCAAGTGGCACGCGAGCGGAGGGAGGGGGGGGGGGGGGGCCAGGAGCTGGGCTGTTCGCCCAGCAGGCCGCTCTTGAAACTCGGCGCCCCGCGTTTGTCAGGTCGCCATGGATGGCATGGGCCGGGCCCACGGACGAGGCGCTCTCGTCGCTGCTTGGTGGCCTCCCGCCCGCGGCCGGGGGCCCGTCCCCGCGCGGCGGGTTTTTCTCAAGCTAAACGGTCTGTCTCTGCCCCTAGTGCCGGGGGGCGGGGGGAGGGGGGAGGGGGGCGAGGGGGGTACCGGTGTTTCCCTGGTTCCCGGACTTCAATCACCGGGCAAGCCACCCGATTGAAGCCAAGGCCAGTCCCGGGACACGGGGACTGTGGTGGAGGGATCGGCCGCGGCCGGTCGAGTTGGTCCCCCGGAGGAGCTCCCGCAAGAGGCAGACACCTTGACCGGCGGCCAGCCTCCTCGATCTCTCCAGGGCCTTGACCCCTGGTGCTCGGACAGGGCCCGGGCCGCTGGCCCTGTTCGCAGATCGGCCCAGGGAGGGGGACAGCGCCCGCGAAGGAGACCTCAAAACTGGAAATACCGGCCATGGCGAGGGTTCTCCCCACTTGGAGGGGGGGGGGCGGTGCGCCTCGGTATTTGACCCCCCTCTATCGCCCCCCTGCAGTGGACTTGACCTGGGGGAGGGGGGAGGGGCGCGAGGTGACGCCCGGTGGCCGGTGGCCGGTGGCCGGTGGCCGGTGGCGGTAGGGTACGCCAGGGTGGGGTCTGATCGACCACACGTCCAGAACCTCCAACCTTGCCCACAATGGCTTCCCAGGACCCAACACCCTCGACCAGCACCAGTGGCTGCCGGCCCGGAAGCGCACGCTGTCCGTCGGGCGCGTGCCGGTGAAAGGGCCCCCATTTTCCGGCCATGGTCCCGGTGATACCAGTGCCATCCTGATGATCGCGGGTCAGACGCCGGCCGCGTCCATGCC